TCTGGTGACGTGTCACATTCTAGGCCATACATCCGGATACCGATGGCACTGTCGTGGCACCCTCAAAGCACTCTCGCGGCACTCTTGCGGCATAGTGCAAAATTTCAATCATACATCCGGAATCCCGGATCCCAGCGGCACTGTCGTGGCACTATGGCGGCACTCTGGCGGCATAGTGCCAACTTTCAATCATGTTCGTAAAGCTGTCCAAAAGTGTGCTGCAAGTGTGTCCTGCAGACACATACATTGGTAAATAAAGGCTAGTTAATAAAGGGTATTGACTATTGCTTTTATGACACCGTGGTTATTGTGACTTTGTGAAAAGATAATAATGAAGGTATAATGATTGTCTCATGCTTTTCAACGAACATGATTGAAAGTTGACACTACGTGCCACGACAGTGGTTTGTGACTTCTGGCCCACTGCCACACGAAACACATTCAATTTCACCACATAGAGTTATTGTAAAAGAGTAGCTTTAGCTGTGTGCAGACTGCAGAGGATCAGTCGTTAATAAACAGCTTTCACTTTGCAGTCTGCACACAGCTAAAGCTACTCTTTTACAAGTATACTCTATGTAGTGAAATTGAATGTGTTTCGAGTGGCAGTGGGCTGCAGAAGTCACAAACCACTGTCGGTTACGAGTTTTAAATTTAGGGTTACCTTACCATCTGTTATCGGTTAAAATGTTGGACTGTTGAAATTTTGCAATGTTAAAATTATGCATAATCCACTCGTTTTTACGCTCATTTTAACCGAGTTAATTTCAACCGGTTAATTAGGTCTGCTCTGAGTTGATTATCTCTCTGGGAACACAAAGCGTGCAGAGTAACAGATCAGAGCATGTACACGCAATTTATAAAGACATATAGTTACTAGTCGAATACAATTGTTGTGTGAGTATATTATGTAGGCCACGTAGATTGTACTGCAGTGTATTTTATACAATACGCATATTATATATAACGCATACCTTTGTTAATGTTTGCTTATACTCATTTAGGCTACTACTGCAGTGGTATCGTGTATAGTGTATACTGTCATTTATTTATACCTACTTTACTTCAGCCGCCCCCATCCTTAAGTTGATATCGTTTTTGTTTATACATACGTATATCTTCAAGCATTATAAACTGGTATTTATGCCAGCTTTATATATATAATATATATATTTATACCAGAATGTTTATAAACATTCTGCTAGAGTGCTACACGTTCTCAATTTCGACACGTATACCGTAGTTCGACAAACCCTAAGCAACGATCCTTAACGAGCTTGAAATCCATTCGTTTGTTTGTTTTCCACTTGTCTCATGCTGTTCAACTATGTGTGAATATAGTATCTATAATCCATATCTATTATCTATGAACATTTAATTGACCAATGACCTCAGACTCAATTGTTAGTTAATTGTAGACTTATCAGAGGTAACTCGTACCCCGTTTTATAGATCTAGATTGTAGAGTACGCTATATAAATATCTACCACATAGTACATACCACACTTTATATTATCACAAGTTTCTTAAATCCAGCTCACTGTTACTTTGATATAATATATATATATATATCAGTCATAATATGCTTAACGTTTCTTTCCTTCACGTCCAGAAGTATGCTTACGTTATTGTTTGCTGAATTGAAGCTAGTTCTGGTGAAATATGAAAAATGTTAAATTTGGTTTGAAACTGAAAGCGGCAATGTGGTTATAATTCCGAAAAAAATTTGATTAATATTTTCGATTTTTTCACGAAAGGAAATTCGCAGTTAAAAGTGTGGGGGTCAAATTTGATTCTTTGCGGGCCAAAGAACCATATTTATAACAGTCCATATTTTTAACACCCATAATCCCCCCCCCCCCCCCCCCCCCCTCCATAATATTACCGACTAAGGTAGCCTAGATTACGGAGCAGCCGGCAGTGAATCAGCCCCTCTCCTTTTACCTTTCTTTTGTGAGCTCTTGGAACAATCTTACTTCTTGAAGTTGCTCGGCATTACACTTTTATACCTACAGTTACATGTTTTGCATGCAATTACTGCTTGTTATCACTTCGCAGTTTTGTTTATAATCTTCTCGCAAAAACAGTAATATGATATCAACATTTGAACTGTGTATTGTATCAGTATGAAGGGTGATATCGGTCTAAAAATACTTTGTAATCGATAGGGTTATATAGCCTACAAATCAGTAATGAAGTTTCGTGGGTGACTTGCACACCACATACTAAAAACAATTAGCTGCATAATAGGGGCATATATATATAATAGGTGCGCTATTATGCTACTTGTTTTTACCTTGATTTTTAACGTTTAGTTGCAGTTATACAGATATATCCGTCTGAAAATTGATTTACCGACACACGACGCTTTCTAAGGATTTTTGACGGTTTTGAGTTCCTTTCGATACCCTAAACGGCTGTCCAACTTTTCCAAACTTTTCCACGTGTCTTTTGCCACTTTTTATCATGCCTTTCTTGTTTGTCGAATATCTTTAATTGCGAACATCGTAGAAGGTTGCAGATTAATCGAGGGTGTTTATAAACAAAAAACTTTTGTGCAGACAATTTTCACAGCGGACAATCATATAATTGGATAATTACTAATAAGCTAATTACCAAAAATCATTAAATTTTTTATTGGCTCAAAATGATTAGGATCGCTTGAAACACGGAGAAAAGTAGTTTTTATAATACTCTAAACACTACGCTCTGTTCGGTATAACTGCATATTCCTGTTAGATGTAGCATAACTCTAAACACTATACACACAGACTTATGACTAGTTATACAGCAACAGTGAGCCCTCATCGAATAATTTATAATTTACCGTTTAAACTTATTTAAAGACGACATTTAACTTAATGTTTGACTTTTTTTTGTTAATATAGAGTTACTTGCCACTTAGGTCCAGGATCATTATAAAACATAACGCCGGACTTCTAGGCATGGTGCTTGGTTGTGGGACACACTCAACTAAGTAAGGTTGAGACCTCAAATCTCCCTGAAGAGATATCAACAGAGTGTGAGCCACTGCCTGACTAACCTGGAATAGAGTCTAGTTTGCCCGACTCTATGAGTATGTTTGACTTGGCCCTATCCTCTATATTATTTATTTAAGACTGAAAGTTTATTTTTGTAATAGCTAGGTTTGTTACCTCCTGTTCATTACATTCATTCATTGCTCGGCTTCATCTTTCAGGTCGCCATGTAGTGTGTCTGTTTTTAATACGGGGAAAGTTTCTTATTTTTACTAGTTATATTCCTGTACATAATACATTTTCAAATTGTGTAAATCGAAATAAGAGCTGACATCAGGCAACAGCAGCAGACACCACATTATACAAAATTGATCTTCCTTTGTTACGACTAGTTTAGAGCTAATTTATTATATTTATTTGAGCACTTTGAGGAGAATAAATACTACCGAGTACCAACCTTATCGAATTAATTTATAAAATAATAATCCCCAACAACGATCAGAAATGGTACCTTCACTGAACTCTGGTTCAAAACTTGGCTATGTCGTGTACATCATATTGTTTACATGTTTGGTTTTCTTGATGTTTCAACTAGCAAACGAGAAAGGAAAAAGGGTGGGGATTTCTGACACAGGCTCCTATCTGGTCAGTTCGCCGATAGTAAAAATTTCTGTCAGTGATGATGTAGTTTCAGACACATCAGAGAATGTGATTTCAACATTAACAGATTCAGACCAACTGTTCAAGTCAAAAGTCAGGCCAAATTCAAGTCATTCAGAACAGATATTAATTAAAAAGAACTTGATGTTTATAAAGACCCACAAGTGTGGAACTTCCACCATAGTTGATGTTTTTTATCTTCGTGGAGTCAGAAGAAGGCTCAACTTTGTCATGAATCCTTATCAGCATAATCTAAAGAATTTAGATGGGTGAGTTTATAAAGTTTAACACATGCAGGCATGTAAAGGAGAACTTATTGTTCAGTATTCAACAGTGAATAGTGATACATTATCACATAGAATTACTTTACAAATTTATCTATGATACACCACCGAATACAGTTTCTTGTCATCTATTAAAGTTTCGAGGTATCGAGACTTGAGAGGATACTGAAAACTGAGAGATAGTGAGAGAAGAGAAATACCCGGATTATTTACAATAAAATAAATAGTAATTTTATCTAGGGTCGCTGGTAATGTGTTCCTTCACACAAAATAGATCACCCATCACACTGGATATTATTAATAGTAAAGTATAGTACTTACTTGTGTAAATAGATCACTCATCACGCTGGATATTATTGATAGTAAAGTATAGTACTTACTTGTGTTTTGCTATGACAGTTAGCCGGCTGTAAGAGTGCTGTTACCGTAACAGCCGGTTAATACTTTAACAGCCGATCGGCATTGTACCTGATCGGCATTGTACCTTTTTGCCCAGTTTACGCTACCACATGGAGTTCAGATAGTAAATGGGGCCGGGGTGTAGTGTGTACCACTGTAAATATAGTAAACACTCTTGTGGTCAGACTTTAGACACTTTACTGGAACGTTTTCATCCATTAGACAGAGCAACTTGTTTGCATTTTCACAATAGCTGCTGAGACAGCTTCTTACTTCATTTGTTGACAGTTATAGATAGGCCAAGTTCAAGTCATTCAGAGCATATCTTAATTGAAAGGAATTTCATGTTTATAAAGACCCACAAGTTTGGGACCTCCACTATCCTCAATACCTTTTATCTGAAAGAAGCCAGAAGAAGGCTTTACTTTCTTGTGGAACCATACACTCATGAGCTGCTTCCATTGCCCCTGAAAAGTATCATCGTAATTTTTAGTGATTATCCGGTGATATGACACGCGATATTTTTAAAATCTTTAAGAATTTGTACCGTATAGCAGTCTCAAATTGTCCTCAAACTATAGAATACAACAAATTGAAACTCCAAATTAATGTTAGGTTAGACTTGAGTTGACCTCTTTGTCAGATAATTCTAAAACTAATATAGTTTTACTTTTAATTGTCATTTTGTTGGCAAGTTGTTAATTACAGTCTCACTTTGTAAGGAATGGTTTAGACCTAATTTATTGTTTGAGCACTTTAAGGAGAATAAATACTACTATATAATATATATACCGAGTACCGACCTTTATAAATTAATTTTTATAAAATAACTATCCTCAACAACGTTCAGAAATGGTACCTCAACTGAACTCTGGTTCAAAACGCGGCTATGTCGTGTACATCATATTGGTTACATGTTTGGTTTTCTTGATGTTTCAACTAGCAAACGACAAAGGAAAAAGGGTGGGGATTTCTGACACAGGCTCCTATCTGGTCAGTTCGCCGATAATGAATATCTCTGTCAGTGATGATGTAGTTTCAGATACATCAGAGAATGAGATGTCGACTTTAACAAATCCAGACCAACAGTTCGAGTCTAAAGATAAGCCAAGTTCAAGTCATTCAGAACAGATATTAATTAAAAAGAACTTAATGTTTATAAAGACCCACAAGTGTGGAACTTCCACCTTAGTTGATGTTTTTTATCTCCGAGGAGTTAGAAAAAAGCTCAACTTTGTAATGATCCCATATACTCACCAACTGCATTCTCTCACAAGGCAAGTTAATACTTATGAGTAAATAATTTAAGATTCACCTGAATTACAATGGTAATATCGTATTTTTTGTGATTATCTGGTCACTCGCGATTTAAAAAAAGTCTTTAACAATGTTTAAGAATTTTAAGAATTATTTGGCTGCAGTTGGTAACTGGCTGTGTGACTCAGTTGGTAAATCTTCCTGCTTGTTAATCGCGAGGTACCAGGTTCGATTCCCAGCTGAGCTACCAGCCATGGGCGAGCGTCGTTGACGCTCTGCTAAGGACTCCGAGTGATCTATGTAGCCCCCGGTCTACTCAGCCGAATACTCGAGAAAATCGGGTGTGAGGGTAAAATAGAGGAGCTGCCCATTGCAGCAAAGTCTCGGGCGAAGAAAGTATGGTACACACTACCTTAACCGTCACTGGCCTAATGTATAATTGAATCCTTCGGCTTCCTGTCATTGGCTGGTTACACTTGTGTAACAATGTAGCTGTTGGAATGTTCGAAGTAAGATGAGCGTTAGATAAAATACCAGTCTCAAATTGTCTCCTCATAGTCTCACACAATGTTCATTAGTGTAACAGTTCGTTGAATTCAGCTTAATAAAATGCTAATTAACTTCGGGATTCATCTTGGATAGGATTTAAAAGAAACTAGTGGAATTTTCAAACTATAGAGTTTTGAAACCACAAATTGATGTTAGGTTAGAATTGAGTTGACGAATTCAAATAGCCATACTTAAACCTTTTTTTGGGATAGTTCTTAGTTTTACATCGTTGATAGATATATAGTTTGACTTTTCATGTTCATTTTGTTGGCAAGTTGTTAGTTTCAGTTTTCCTTTGTTACGACTAGTTTAGAGCTAATTTATTATATTTCCTTATATTGGTTTCTTATCAGCATAAACTATTCCGTTGACACAACAAATGACTTGCGATTTAAAAAAAGAATCTTTACGCCTGTCTTAAATTTTCTCCTTTAAACCAAAAATTAGCACACATATATATATTCACTAGACCACGTTGAAGAGTCTAAGTCCACATTTCCCATAATTTACTGAGAGTTGTATACTGTATAGCACCAACACTGTTGAGAGTTCGGCGCTTACTGGACTTTGTTGTTCAGCTAATGGTAAAATAACGATACTCGTCTTCTACCGTCTTCTAGTTCACGAGATCAACGCTAACACGATCTTTACGTACCCTCAATTTGAAGACGTTAAACAATCAAAAAAGTTTGATTTACTACGTCGTACTCGACAAAAGGTTAAAATTAAGTTGGAATAATTTTGGTCATGACATAAACGATAATACCTTATATTTTATAATTCCTTTTTTCAGGCACCTGCTACCTCCAAGACCTGGATCAGTGTACAACATGCAGTGTCAACACGGCACTTTCCAACCAGATGCTGAACACACGATAATGCCCAAAGAAACATCTCTTTACTCCACTATTGTCAGATCTCCAGTATCCCAGTTTAAGTCTGCTTTTAGCTTTTTTGGGGCTGAGGGCAAAATGCAAAAGGTATGTCATCGAATGTAAAAGCTTCTTTTTTTTCAGTCCAGATGTTTAGTCCCGTTCATCCAAATTATCTATTCGCACCAAGTTAGGTTAGAGAATATAAGTAATCGAATGGCTGATATAGATTTGCCCTAACAAAACAAACGAGTAAATATATTCATGAACAAGCCACAAGGGGGTTGGACGACTCCATTTGTCTCAGAACAATTCGTTTAATCGGAACTTAAATGGGCCAAAAAGACTGGTCAGTGGTCATTATCTATAATGTCGCCAATGCTTCTTCCCCAATCCCCATGGCAAAAAACTAGAGATTACTTAATTTTTCTGACTTTTTGTCATTTCTATTCCTGAAATACTCGGTTCACGTACTGTAGTGCGACACGTACTCTAGTGCGACACGTACCCTAGTGCGAAACCTCCAAGATCGATACTGTCGCAGTAGAGTACGCTACCTGGATCGTAGTGCGACACGTACCCTAGTGCGACAGAGAATTTTCAAGGCCGACACTGTCGCACTACAGTGCGCTACCTGGACTGTAGTGCGACACGAACTAAAGTGCGACAAAACACTTTACACATTCAATGAAAATTTTACTTTCCATTTTTAATGACAAGATTGTAGTCGTGTATGAGTAATGGGGTTAAATATAAAATCAAAGATTGCAATCACAATATTCAATTCAAAATCATTGTTCCAACACACTTCAACTAATCCATTCTGTCATAATCATCGTAGCTATCAATCACAGCGTTCAAGCGACGGTCGTAATCAGTCCACTTCTTCAGTCGGCGAGGAGGTAGTTGTCTGAGCATCTTCATTCTTCTGGTTGATCTTCCATCGGGTTAGATCCTGCTCCTTCTTCAGGACGTCGATAAATCGCCAGATAGTGGGGTTGGTGCAGCCCATCAAGGGGGATAGGAGGTTTGTGTTCCGACCCAGGTACGTTCGTAGTAGTCACTAGGCAGCAAAGGAATCCATCTCCGAGGGAAGGGTTGCTTTCAGCTGCGTCCAGGTCACAGTAGTGTTGTTCGTCAGACTGAGACGTCCGGAGCAGGTCTTCTCAGTGCATCGCCAGTAGGTCTTGTCGTCGCGGTTCTTATCTAGGCAGTAGCGGTATCCGTCGTGGATAACGTTTCTTGAACCAGTAGTGCGTCCAGGAATGAAGGCGATTGAAGAAGACATGTTGATGTTGTTCGATGCTTCGGTAGAATCATCATGACCTTATTTATGGCCCATGCATATGAACTTGTTATCCCAATCGGAGATATACCTTCATACGATGCGTGTGATAGGAATGAGGATCATATGCTGCTTAAGAGTTACCCAGTGGATCACACACTGCATACGTGGCTTGAACTGACCCGAAGGAATTATGATCAGTGGATATTGGATAACTTCGAAACACTTGATGTGAACCGACGAATCGTATTCGCAAGATCACTTCGAAATAAGTGACGTGAACCGACCCGACGAATCACTTAATGGTCAAAAAGAAGGATAGGATGTGACCTGAACTTGGAAATAAGTCAGGATATTTTGTCGCACTAGAGTACGCTACCTGGATCGTAGTGCGACACGTACTGTAGTGCGACAGAGGGTGTTTTTGTCAGACTTCGCACTAGAGTACGTGTCGCACTAGAGTACGTGTCGCATTACAGTACGATTACCGAAATACTCAAAGGTCATTCATGTACAAAAATGAAGATGTCCAAATATGTAGAAAGAGATGTTCACTGCTAACTCTCCTTTAGAAATACGGTCACCTCTCAATAGACGCATTGATTGGACACTACTTGGACGAATATCCCGAACCAACAGAAAACAAGGCTAGTGCTGGCAGGATTCTCAACAGTGTGGCTGTAGACTTGGGATGGAATACTTTTAACCGCAGGTAAATACATTTTATTTTTTAACCAGATTTCTGAAATCTGAAACCAATGATTTTTACTGAATCATCAATACATTCGGTGACCAAACTTCTGAAATCTGTAAACAATCATTAAAAACACTGATTGCTGGAAAAAGGCCTTGCATTCATGTAAAAGTTGATCCAGAATTTATGAAACATCTTTATTTTTGAAGAAAAAGGTGGTCATGTGAAATTGATATTTAATATTTTCATCGTATTGCAGAAATTTAGGACAAACACTTCAAGAGAAGATAAACGCCTTTATAGAACATCTGGACCAAGAGATGGACTTTGTTATGATAACCGACAGAATGAACGAAAGTCTTATCCTTCTTAAAGAATATCTTGGCTGGAATATGACTGACATTGTGTATCTAAATCGTATGGTCAGCTCCAAACCAAAAGTAACAATGTCAGAGGAAACTAAAGCCAGAATATTGCAATATCAAGTTATAGATGCTCAAATATTTGATCAATTTAACAAAACATTCGAGCTGCACCTCGATAGGGTAGGCAGAGAAAAAGTAGCATCTCAAGTCAAAGAGTTTGAAGAAATGAGGGAATCTTTTGAAAACAAATGTTTTAACAAAGATAAGACTATTAATGGTCCCTATAAATCAATCTCATGGGAGATATCAGAGTACGGTAGAAACACAAATGTGGCCTGCACATTTCTACAGACTCGAGATGTCACATTGACTAATGTTATTACACAGCTTCAGCTTTCCCAAGACTATACCGTCCCTATCGAAGGACAAAAAGGGCCTCTCTTGATGCGAGATATCGTTTCTAAAATCCAACGGGACTATGATAATAACGAGGATCCAGTGTGATCGTGGCTTCTCTGTCAATATAATATATTTTTTATTTATTTATGATAGTGTGATGTTTTAGTTGCAACTCAAATTTATAATTCTAGATAAAGTGGTTTAAGGTTTCGTCATTAACTAAAATAAAGAAATGTGCCTACATCATTAAATGTTTTCGTATGAACCACATCAGCCAGGCATAAATAGTCAGCTAGATTGGTGCCACTGAAATCAGGGCGAAGTTACCCTGCAATATGGGGTAACTTCGCCATTCCGAAACTATACCACATTCGGTGCTAAGCAATAACATACCATTCGAAACTCAATTATATTTCCTTGATATACCTGCCAATTTTACTTATCTAGCTTTAGCCTGCGTGGTACAATGGGCAATTTGGTCGCAGGGGTAACATCGCCATGCTGCGGGTAACATCGCCGGGATGAAGTAGAAATGTAGTCGAACTTCGCCAATACACGTGCGTGACTTCACCAGCCGCGCGCGAATTTCGCGCCAAACTTCGCCGAACAGATGGGATCAGAAGAGGGTATAAACTTCGCCACACACAAATTTGAAAACTTTATAATATCAGTTGTGTGTATCATGGCTAACTAAATTCGCCCTTAAATGAACAGGACATATGCTAATGATGGCACACAGAATTTATTAAGGATATAATTGGAAAATATGGGAAATATGAAAGTGGGAAGTTTTAGCCACTTTATTGCATTATTTCATGTTGCCTGAGGTTAATTAACATAGTAAACGTTTATTTTTGAATAGGAATACCTTTATAACCATTTGTTCAACACAATACTATACAAAAACTAGATCTCCTAACAATTCAACACAGTAAAATGATTATTTGAAAAATAGTGGCGAAGTTCCCCGACACGGCGATTTTACCCCAATCTACGGTATATATTTAATCCTGTTTATGGAGTTTGATGCCAAACTCTGAAAATTAGATGAAGGGGACCATTTTACGATTTTTTTATTTTTAGTGTCAAAACCTTTTAGCTTGTGTGTTGATAACAGTTGCTCTCTTATCAGTAAAATCGTTTAATTGCACTGCGACCACCGTGTAGCCTTGTAATACAAGTTAAGTACATGATGAAGGACACAGATTTACTGCAGCGTTTATCGGGACAGTCTATATTTTTCAACGAAGCGAATGAGGATTTCGACGCTTAAATTTCGAATATTGCAGAAGCCACGAACTGTGAAAATAAAACAAAGTTTTCAGTTGAAAAGTTTGAAAAGCCAGTCAAGAAGGTTTTATCAAATTTGATGTATAATATGTACTATCAGTTGAATTCTGTCGTCGGAGAAACTCTGAATGCAATGAAAGATGTTGAGGAATTGAAGAGTTCTCTCATCCGATCACAAGATTCGGTTATCAAACTGCAGAGGGAACTTCTTGAAGCCAAAGCCAATCAGTTGGAATTAGTTCAGACCACCGTAAAATCTGCTGTTCAGGACACTGTTCAAGCTGAGATCAAGTCATACAGTCAAGCTGTGTTAAAAGCCTCGCCGAACAGTACAATAACGGAGGAGAGCCTGAAAAAAGTTGTGCAGAAGGCTGTGTCAGAAGAGGATCGCAGCAGGAATGTTCTCATTTTTGGTTTAAAGGAGACAGATGAAGAGAAACTATCAGACAAAGTAGACGAACTGTTTGAACAGATTGAAGTGAAACCACACTTCGAAGCTGTAAGGATTGGAAGGAAATCAGCTGACAAGACCAGACCTGTCAAAATTTTGTTATCAAATTCGAATACTGTACATCAGATTTTATCAAAATCGAAAAACCTGAAACTGAGTGAGCACCACAAAACTGTGTTCATTTCACCAGATCGGTCACCTGAGGAGCAAGCCAGACATCATCTGCTCGTTTTGGAGATGAAAGAGAAGGCAAAGAAGGATTTGAAGAGACGATATTATATCAGAAGTGGTATTATTTGTTGTGAGGACAAGTATTGTGTTTTGTTTTCGTTTTCGTTTCGTACAAAGGAAAGAAATGAAACAAAGTTCTGCTGTTCTATACAATTACTTGATAATAAGATAAACACGATATTATAAAACTGGAATAACTAAATTTAGATAATACACAATACTATCTACTTGAACAATGATAATGAGAGAATACACAATATTGTACTACGTGAAACTTTCCTAGTCAATTGCTTTACAGAATAACACACTCCACTACGCACTCTCACTGCAATGACTAACAAAGGTAAATAGTAATTCAATATATAATAACTCAATCACTTCAATTATATAAAGTATCCAAATCACTATCAATCAATGTAACTTCTCTACTACAATACACCGTCACTATTACTTGTCTTCTGTTGAGATCTCTACAATACACCGACACTATTACTTGTCTTCTGTTGAGATCTGTGGAGTTCTTCTCTGAAGTTCTTCGTACTGGAATCTATCTTAAGTACAATCCAATTGACTTATATTCACCGATAGTCCACACTGGTCACACCGACCGTACACTGTAATCTATCTTTTCACCGATAGTACACACTGGTCACACCGACCGTACACTGTAATCTATCTTCTCACCGATAGTACACACTTCACACCGAAGAACACAACTCCTAACACAAGTCCACCAACATACAACCGCAACTGGCGTGGCTAGCAGCACTGGTACACCGTAGAGCAACCACCAACGTCGAGTAGACGAATAGCCTCCAAGATCACATCATTTTCCTAGAATGGATTAAATTATGTTAGTATGGTATTTAATGAATAATGATGTACTTAATTATATAATATCATCATTAACATTACTGGCCTGGTGGTCTTATTTTTGAGAGCCTTGTCGGCACTAGTTGAGTAGTTCCCCTGTCTCCAGTATTAGTACTTTGCACTCTAGTTTGGATTCATCCATCATCTTGAAGTTGAAATACCACATTAAACAACAGTGAATAACATTGAACAACTTATAAAAACATTGAACGACGTTGAACAACATAAAAGGTATGACTGATTGAAAGTAGCTGGACTTGGCTAGGTAGTAGGTGCATCTATTGAGTGGTATTAGTGAACATTAATCAGTCACATTTCTGTTAAACATTTACATTTTATACTGTCTCTCAATGTTAAATACACTTTCATGGGCAGTGGCGTAACATAAACAAAGGACCCGGGCACCATCAGAAGGGGGCACCATCAGAGGGGGCGTCATCAGAGGGGGCGCCATCAGAGGGGGCGCTCTTTTCTGAAGTGTAGGTATCTTTATGAATTATGTCTTTTTTATGAAAAATATACTGATTTGGCAGCATAATGAACCATATCCCGATCCGGGCTGGGGCCAATTTAACATTTGGTCGACACGAAAAGAACTTCAGTGCGTGTCGAAATACCGTCCAATTAAATAGCACACTTAAGTTCGACAGACTACGACTCCGAGTCTATCTTTAGCCTTAGGGCTTGTCGAACGTCAGTACGTGTATGCAGTGTGCAGGCTTGCTCCTTCATAATTATTGCATTAGGACTACGTGAAGGTATAACCAATTGAAAGTAGCTGGATAATTAAAATTGGTAATATTGGGCGGATTTCAGCCTGCCATTCCGCCATATCTTGAACAGAAAAGCCCGCTCCTACTAATATAAATCGCTGGCCCAAATTTTAAGAAAATTCTTGTGAAAAGGCCCTTTAGGTATGAATTTGATCAAAATCAGTGTATTTTTGGACGCTGAATCACCCCCCGAATCACCCCCCATGCAATGACGTAGGGTAAAAATGCTTCCCTGGAGGGTTGTGGGCAAAAAACCGTTTTGGTCACGTGACAGGCTAGTAAAACATGAATTCGATTGTTTAGGGCTCGTGTTACTGTTAGGGTTAGGGTTGTGGTAAGACTAAGTTTTATGGATAGCTTCGGTGTTGTGGTTAGTGTCATAGGCTTGGGATTAGAGTTTATGTAAAAGTTTTACTAAAACCGTTTTGTACGGCTGCAAAACCATAAAAACCAAAGTCACATGAAATTTGTGGGCAAGCGAAATAGAAAGAACCCACTTTATGTCCATAAACACCTAAAAATGGCCTATACCGGCAGTTGCGCCCGTTTCCCACACCTTAACAGGCCATTAACAGGTTCCCAATCAGTGACGTGATCTGATTCGCCATGTCAGATTCTCAAAACGACAGTTGCGCCCAAATGCACGTTAAGTTCGACTCCCAAACTCAAAGTCGCACTTAAATATTTAAGTGTGAACTTAAATCATGCAACCTAAGTGTTACAACTAAAGTGTTACAACTAAAGCAAAAATTAATTGTACTTAAGACTCAGATGATGGATGACAAACGAAGAGGTGTACTGAAATTTGTAGTTGTACTTAATGCTTAAGTCATTTTTGATACACCATAATGATAAACTGTTCGTGGAGAACACCCACTGGCACTACGCATATATAGTTATACACTATTAATATTATATTATAGTATTTCATCGCATATTATCCTCGATAGTTCATTTTGTGCCTGGCCCATCTTCTGACAAATGCTATGTTACTCGCATTCTATGTTACTCGCAGTCTTTGAGTTTGTGACCTTTCTAGTTAACAGTCCAATGGCCCATTTGTGGGTATTTTCATTCAATCATTGTTCGCTCGGCAAAAATTGGTTTTCAACCACATTTCCGAAAATAAGCATTTTAAAGTTTACAATTCTTCATAAGTTGTATTTAAATATGTCTATTAGGCACATTTTGGTGTATCAGAATAGTCTCTACGACCTTCCTAATCCTAGGCGGAAATGCCAAAAGTCATGGAAATTATGAACTGCATCGAGCCAAAAACTGTTTTTCGGCCATATTTCCGAAAATAAGCATTTTAATATATATTGCTTCATAAGTTGTATATAAGTATGGCTATTAGGCACATTTTGGTGTATCAGAATAGTCTTTACGATATTCCTGGGCTGAAAGTGAAATACAACAATTCGAGTATGACCGTGAAACCCTGAAAAGGGTGTGGCCGAAAACGTCCCTATTGCATTTAATTATTACAAAAATATAATAATGGCCAAATATTTTAAGCATCATCTAGAGGTGATAACCGTCGAGAAATCGCTTTTAACACGAAAAGCTAACGAAATGGCCTTTTAGAACGGTTGAGATCCGA